ACTCATGAAGTATTTTGTGTTTCTGGATAGGGCAAAAGAACATGGCTGGTCCCCAGTACATTCTCTGTGGCAGTTTTGATTCAGTATAGCACAGCATGCAGTCCAAAGGCCTCGACCTTTTGACCAAAGTGGACCTATGCATCACTCAATCACAGTAGGATACTGAAGAGGTTCTGACTAGTCAGTCAATTGCAACCAATGGTTTCCCCAGTCTAATAACTGCATCCCATCAATTGAGGACAAAGATTGACTGATATTTTATGTACAACCATATAGTGTAAGTGGCTAATGACAAGAGCCTATCAGCTACTATAGAACTTTTCCATCCAAAGTAGAATATTAGTCAGAAATTCTTGCCTACAAAATGACTACCATGAATTAATTTTCAATTTGTTTATATAAGCTTAAAACATTGTTTTTGTGGAAAGTAAGAAATTTATTTTTTTAAAAGAATGCATTGAATTTGTTCATAGTTCGACATTACTAAATTATTCATGTGAGCACAGGTGGCTTTGGGTTATTTCATGTTTTCTTTTCCTGCTGTGGGGTTCCAGGTTTGAATTATGGTGGGAAATGAAGCTGGATCCCTATGTAAGGTGAATTGTCAAACTTCTAAGCCTGCTGTTCAAATGCCAGTTTCAGACTGGAAGGCTATATGTGCACCAGATGGTGAAATGCTGTTATGGGCACAACAACCATTCAGATTCAGCTTTAGATTTTCTTGATATCCAAGTTACATAGCTATTTTGGGGCTAATGTAATGTTCCCCCACCCTCAAAAAAAGTAAAACACTTGTTATATACAATAAAATTTGGTTCCATAAAAACATATAGTCAAATATTGGTTTCAAAACATTTGTCTTCCTTCTAAGATCAGTTTGTCTTCCTTCTAAGATGTCCAATGAATGTAATCACAATCATCAGAAAATAAGAAACAAAAAGCAGAAATTGCTGGAAAAGCTCAGCAGGTCCGGCAGCATCTGTAGAGAGAGAGCAGATTTAATGTTTTGAGTCAAGTGACCCTCAGAACTGCATCAGAAAGTAACTATATTTAATATTTCATTTAAAGTCTGCCAATCATCAGTATTGGCATCTCAATGTGCAATTTTCAGTCTACTACAACAAAGGTACAGAAACATGACCCAATAACTTCTGGTGTTGGCACAGTTTGAAACAGGTTCAAACCTGATCAAAATGGAAGTCTGCTCTTTGCACCCAGTTTTCCACCTCAATTAGATAGAGAGCAGAAAATCCTTGGAAAATGTAAAGGCTAGATTGAACCATCAGAAACGTTAGAGATAAAAAGTTCTTCTAGCTTTGGGAAATCTAGAAGAGATTGAAGAGTTGATTGATGGCATTTCAAAACATGAAATATAAATAAAATGTAAAAGTAAAGGATTAGGAAATTCAAGTTAATATTAGCACGGTGGCTCAGTGGTTAGCAATGCCACCTCACAGTGCCAGGGACCCGGGTTCGATTCCACCCTTGGGCGACTGTCTGTGTGGAGTTTGCACATTCTCCTCGTGTCTGCGTGGGTTTCCTCCAGTTGCTCCAGTTTCCTCCCACAGTCCAAAGATGTGCATGCTAGGTGAATTGTCCATGCTAAATTGCCCACAGTGTTCAGGAATGTGTAGATTAGGTGGGTTATAGTGGGGTGGGTCTGGGTGGGATGCTTTGAGGTTCGGTGTGGACTCGTTGAGCCAAAGGGCCTGTTTCCACACTGTAGGGATTCTATGATTCATTAGAAATCTGCAGGTAAGTAAAAGAGCAGCCAGTCCCCAATCCTTTTGATGATCCCTGAGATGGGGTTGGATGAGGTGCAATAAGTCTTTACTTTGTTGGTGCTTCATAGAGGCATCTCAAAATATCTGCATGGTCTTGCGCCTGTAACAGTGCAACTGGCCATTACAGTCACAGGATGTGCCAACCTTATGCTTCATGTCTATTGCAGGTATTCAGGGGTGGCGTAGTTATTTGATTCCTTATACCTTTACTGAGAGCACAATCCTGTTAGTTCCTCTTGTCTGCTTTTTCCATAGAAGCTTGCAATTTTATCCTTTTCAAATATTTATCCAATACCATTTTCAAAAAAAAAAAGCCTGCCTCACCACCTCCTTTGCAGCGCATTCTAATTCCTAAATTGTTGCACAAAACTATTTCTCATCTCTCCTTTCACTCATTAATAAAATTTACCTCTGTCTCCTAAACCATGGGTACTGACTGAGATAGTAAGCAAGGCAAAAGTACGAGCATAAATAGCCTCTTATGCAGGCTAACCCAAAATTAAAAGTAACCAAAATAGTCTTACCTTAACATTGCTGTGACCTTTTCACAAAATTCTACTTAGATTATGAGCAAGTCAGATACATGTTTCACAGGTCTGATTATGAATTCCACAGAGAAACACTAAAAATATGTGCAGGAATACTCCATTCAAACTCACTGAGCCTTCACTATTCAGTATGATCATGCCTGATCCTCTATCTCAGTACCATACTCCTGCTTTCTTCCCATGCATGTCTAGACATCTATTACTTTCTTAAACATATTCAGTAACTTGGCCTGTACAGTCTGTTATGGTAGGGAATTCCTTGGGTTCACCACCTCCGTGAAGAAAATTATCCTCATCTCAGTCCAAAATGACCTACCCTGCAAATTACATCAGGAAAGAGCATGTGGTTTAAGAAAAATAGTATGGAAGTTAAAGCTCTAGAAAGTGATGACCATTCCCTGTATTAATGATGTAGGATTCTACCCAGCTTCTAGTACTTCAGCCAAGTGACTATTTATTTATAACCCTTCTTCAAAGACTTCAGTCAAAAAGCACATTCCAGTTAGGCCCAATTAAATCTTTAGTCAAGCAACAAGCTTTAAATATCAGATGTGGAAAGTAATGAAGCAAATTGTCATGGCTCAACTTCTATTCAAAGTAATGTCAGTTAATTCAGTACAGATCAGAATTTGTGCCTGGCATTTTACCTAACTTATATACTATTCTGTTGATTATCTAAACTCAATTAGCTATCAAGATGTATCTTATGTGAAAGTTATTAGAGAATCTTTCTACAAGTACTTAACATCATAGATCTGCCTATTAACAAAGTCAGCTATGATCGTTGGTGTGTAATATTGTGTTGCAGACTAACTGAATAAAAACATAGCTATTGCAATCTGCAGTAAATTTTAGGTCGGAGTAAGGGCACAAGATTAGCACAAGGAAATGTTGATCCTAGGTAATAATTGGGAAAGGGACGAAGAGAAGGACTAAGTTAAAGAAAGGCAGTTAAATGCAGGGAACTTAGATGTATTCTAAGATTCTTCACCTTATGAATGTGACCCTAGCAATGATTAAAATATTTAAAGACATGTTTCTTTCCTAATGTAATAAAATATTGTTCTTTTTCAAAGAAATCTGGGCAAACACAAAAAAAATGCATTAATTTTGCTACAAAGAAGGCACATTGTAACGAAGTACGTGGCCAAGCACTTAAATGGAATACAAAGCATTCTGTTCTACTGTAAAATTGTTCAAGTTGAATCCTTTTTCATACTCAGGATCAATATAAAATGGTTTGAATTTTCACTACAAGTAACAAGTACTTAACAGATGTCACATTCTAACAACTAGGAAGAATACAGCCTGTCTGTCATACCACCTGGACTTGAATTAAGTGCCAACCATTGATGGCTACACTGCCACATGGTGCAGGTTAGCCTGTTTCTCACAAAAATATGTAACATGCATTTACTTACAACGAGAGATGATTTCAAAGATTTAATTAATGAAAGTTTGATTGGAGAACCTGAGGAAAGGGATATTTAACCCATGGAATAATGAGGGACATTGTTTTTGAAGTTGTTTCAGATCCAAGTACACACAAAAGATTACGATATCTGGACATAAAAATACTAAACTATACTGGACAAAAGCAGGCCATTCAGCCCTACCAGTCTGTGTTAGCATTTATGCTCTGCTCAAGTCATCTTCCATCTTTTCTTATCTATATCGACCATTGTAACCCTCTATTCCCTTCTCTCTTATGTTGGCTAGCTCCTCCATAAATGCAATGTTTGTTTCAGTCACTCCCTGTGGCACAGTCTTACATTGATGTCGTCTAGTTATGCTCTTCTCTCAAAGTGGAAACACTCATTCCATATCAACTCCATTAAAACTTTTCATAATTTTAAAGACTTCCTACAGGTCACTCCTGACTTTATTCGCAGCCTTTGCTGATATGTATACCCACATACTTTCAGCATTCTTTGTTAATTTCCCCTGCACACTAGTGCCTCAATGATTGTTTTATGCAATATGGAAACCAGAACTGTATGCTGTAGTCTTACACGTGATCTATCCAAAGCTTGATTTGATTTAGCATAACTCCTCTACTTTTCAATTCTACCCCTCTAGGAATAAAGCCTGGTGCTTAATTTATGTATTTTTTTTAATGCTTGCTAACCTATGGTGCACATTTTTCGGTTGATGTATTTATGCTCCAGGTTATTCTAGGTTAATTTTCCTTCCTTTTTAAAACCATTTTAGTCCATGAAGGCCTCAATTATTAAAATCAGATGATGGAAGTTGAAAACTCAAAGTCCATATTTTAATTGTGTTGTGACAACATAATACTTCAACTGTCATGTCATTGCCCATTCACTTACCCTGTTCAAATCCTGCCTCCTGCCATCTCCTCATAACTGATGTTCCATCCTAGCTTTGTATCATCAGAACATTGGGAAACATCATAAATAATCCCCACAAATACAGATTGTGAACAACGGGGCCCTAGCACTGATCCAAATGTAACATCCTCTAGTAACCGCCTGCCATTCTGAGGATGAATAGATTTTGTCAAAACAGCAAATTTTTTGCCTCAATGCTAAAATAAGATGCATAATCAATGCATAATATTCAATGATTATAGGCTTTAGATGTTATATCTCTTATTTATTTATATTTGAAGTAAATTTTTACAATAGATATGTAAAAATACTACCATACAGGGTACAAAATAGTGGTAACTGGTTTTGTTTACCAGTACCTAATTAAATAGTTATCCTTGATCCACCAAATGCCAAATGGAAAGCAGGAACTACTGAGTATTTAAAACACAGTCATTTATAGAATATTCACTCCACAAATAGTGCATTGGGTGCTAGTTCAATCCTGCAATTTCCATCTAGATGTTTCAATTGAGCTAGAATGATGTGAACAATCTCAATGGAATGTAACTGATGACTGAACTGATTCATTATCATTTGAATACAGTATGATAGATATTTTTCTGCTCCATTTAGGACAATAAGATACAGAAACAAACCACAAATGGGGAAACAAATATTCCTTAACATTCACTATTAAACATTAAGTTACTAAATGTGGTATTGACATAATTGATTTAATTTTTTTTAAACTGATAAATAATATTAGCAAACTGTGAAAGTAACATCCAAAGATGCCCAGGAAGTATCAAAGAAATGGCATGTATATTACATATAAACAAGGTAATATGTGGAGTGTATTTCAGTTAGTATGAAGCTTGACACTGAAATGCAAACAATTGTTGTAGATTTCAATTTTTCCTCATAGACTGCAGCAAAGTTCCTGCTGCTGAAGATATTATTGTGCCTCACTGAGGCAATCTGATGTTTACACATTGTAGAAAGGTAAACAAATTGTGGCAGAAGCTCTGGTTGGACTCCAGAGTACATTTCACCTTTACAGTACTGTATGCTGGACCAGTAATACATAATGAGCCATCTGTGACTGGAGAGGTTTACTTTTTGCACTATTATCTTAATCAGATCTTATATACGTTATCAATAGATTGGATTGATCATTACCTATTTTATAGATTTGAAAATATCTTACAAAGAACCAATTACTGAAATAGAATTTTAAATCTATCTGATCAGTTGGGTACATTTAATGAAGTCCATAAATATGTAGCGATAATAAAGGGGGTGTTCCATTCAAAATATCAGTTTCCACTGTTCTGTCAATCAGAATGGTGCCTATTTATCCCAAATGTATGTCCTCATAACTACTCATTTGAAATTAGGTCAGTGCACAAAGAAACAATACTTCAGTTTAAGAAGTAGCTCATTTTCCAACATATCACAAATGAAGATTTTGTTGAAACAGCAAACATTGCTGTCCAAATTATCTACAGACCAACCAGTTTATACTGATGACCTCTTGTACTCATTCCTTATTATAAGTCCTTAAAAATTTGATCCGATTTCCTTTATTCATTTTTAAGGTGGTTGAGTTCAGTCCCTTCCACTGGCTGAGTAAGAAAACTGGGGAAAGTGTGGTCTTCTCTCATTGTCTATGGATTCCATGCTGCCATCTGTTCAACACAAGAGCCTTATCAATATAGCAGACAAGTGCTACATTTTCAAAAGTTTGACTAAATTATTTTCGAACAACACATACAATGGAATGGGCTATTAACAAAAATGTAATGCATAGTACCTCGATCAGGTGGAGTGATTGTTATTGTTTGTGCAGTAAATTCTTCATCAAAATATCTTGTGTCCATCTCAGATGTCACTTGAGGCTTAAATGGTGGAATAAGCTGTTGAATGTATAAAATGTCATTATTTCATTGGGTTTGCGTCATAAAAAAATTCTCAAATTGAAGTTAATGCTGGATTAAAAAGTGATAATTTGGTCATATGGCAGTGCCATGGAAACACAGAAAGTGGATTTATTAAATACATCACTGACTTCCTGTTTTTCACATTTTACAATATTAGGAATGTTGGTTTTGGCAAGTGGAATACCTTCCATTTCAAGAAACTGTTTTCAGCATTCCTTGTTCAGGCACAGCACTGCCATATGTAAAGCTTTATGCTTTACTCAACAGTGTAGATCAGCTCCAACCTATGAAGAATACCCCTACAGTAACAAGGTGGTTTAGAGTGATACCTTAACCAACTTGCCAACCTCCCTAATCAAACCTTCCCCCATGATGCATTAAATTATGGTGTGCAGTGAGACCAAAGTAGCCAACAACTGGAAGAGGTATAAAAAATTATTGGACAACAGAAAAAACAGGAGGATTACACATAATAGTGCGCTGGGGTCATTGACAGGATGCAGCATTTATATCTGCGATTCCTGCATACTACAGTTTTAAATGCAGCATTGAAAGACCAATCCAGTGCAAATTAAGCCTCTCCATAAATGAATATATTCAGACCCATTTTGTTCAGTAAGTTATGCACTTGCAGTACAAACTGAATGGCTAGACCATTTTAAATATATTTCATTACCTTTTTCTGATAGACATCTTGCCACTCAATTCCAGAAAAGAATTTGTCTTGCATTATTTCCTTTGCATCATCATAGCCACCACCCAACCTAGTCAGAAATATAACAACTCGCATTTACCTAATGCTTTCAACAAAAAAAAGGTCTCAATACACATTACACAGGCATAAGGAAACAAAATTATTCCAAGGCAAATAATATTCAAAAATGCACATACATGAAAGAAAACAGTATTTGGCTTGGTATAAATTTAACTTATTTTGTTGTAAATTAGATCTACCCGGTTAAAGTCTCACAGATTCAACAATGCCAACTTCCAACATATCATGAAATCACAATTACATTGTACATCTCATGTCACTTCTTACAATTAATTACTTCAATTGAAGTTTAATGACCATAAGCAAACAGATTAGCAATATTATCCCGAGATAATAGAGATGAATGACTAGTCTTCTGCTTTGTTTTGTATCAATTAACAGAGGGGGAAAAAATCAGCTGGGATACTGGGTGCCTCTGCTCATATTTAAAATCCATCATTGAAAATCTATCTATTTTTATACGTTGGATTTCAGTTTAATAACTTGTGTCTCAAGTGTAACACTTCTCAAAGCACAGTTATCTTCTGTGCTACATCGAAATGTTAACTGAAATTGAGTATTTAAATCCTGATATGCAGCTTAATCTCTCAATAAGTGCCATAAACCAAGCCAAGTGGACAAATATTCTGCGATAGCTTTAGTTTATTTCCACAAAAGCAAATATAGCCATTCAATAGTTTGCAAAACTAATCCCATGCATCATCACTGGGTAAATCACTCCACCACGCTGAGCTGTTAAAACAGTATCAGGGAATGTGTATGTGTAACAGGACCACGATGCTACTGAAGTGGTTCAAAGTCAGCAGCCAGGTCAGGGAATGATGTGCATCGTGGAAGAACTAAGAACAAAAAGAAAACTAAAATAGATGGGTTTTGTAAAAAATAAGTACTAATTGGAGATATTTCTGCCTCATTAACCACTTAAAGCACAAGTACACTAAAAAATTTACTGAAAGTTTTTTTTTTCAGGAACAGCATCTGTATATGAAAATGAATGGTATACACTGAACTGACCAAAACCAGTTGGTGTAATTAGCGACATATACAGTTGGTTAACATGAATATATATATATAATGCTATGATCTGGAATTCTTTACAAAGCAAGTGAATGGTAAATAATTTCAAACATCATAGTTTTCTACTCTATCAAATATTTAGCCAAAGTTAATTTATTGCCACTGACTTTCAAAGGCAAATCAATGAACTCTTTCCGGATCTTACATGTTAGTGTGTTTTTCAGTAGAAAAACATTGCAAGCAGCATAGCATATTTCATAATCATTAGGATGCCCAAAATCCCTCCAGTGTAGTCACTTGTAATGTCAATTTGCAGACACCAATGTCCTACAAACAGCAATGATATAATTGGTCAGATTATCTGTTTCAGTGATACTGCCTGAAGGATAAAATGTTTGCCAGCACAAATGTTGGCGAGAACTACTACACACTTTTTTGGGCTTTGCAATAGGATAATTTACATCCACCTAAGCAGGCAAATGAGACTTCGGTCTAAATGACCTTTCTTGCCCCAGTCGAACCTAGTTCTATAGATAACATACGTTAAAATGGTAGAGGATATTCTTATCTGGTAAATATGGTGATGAAATTTCAAAATCACGTATTGGCAAAATGTACAAATTTCTAAACTAAAATTTACATTTTATCGTTGATAGTATCAGCTCGCCTCCTCTAAGTGTGTTCAAACACTGCTCAGACTTGCAAGCATTGCTGGTGCAATTATTTGTAATTAAATTCCTTCTACAACCCAGAGAAAGCCAACACACACCTTTGTTTAGGATCTTTCTTCAACAACCCAGAAAGAAGAGATTTGGCTTCAGGTGACAAAGTGCGTGGAAATCTGATCTCTTCCATTAGAATGAGTTCAAACAGCTTTTCATGATCCTGATTGTAGAAGGGAAGGCGGCCACACATCATTTCATACATCACAACTCCAAAACCCCACCAGTCTACAGCGCGCCCATAGTCATTATCCTCTAAAACCTGAAATGCATGAAAATGAACATGTGGTATACATTATAGCAATAAATATGATTAGTTGTAAGGTTATCTGAAAGATCAAACATTGCTGTAAGTGTGAACAATTCATATATTATTTTCAGCTTTTATAAGAATTGCTCACTTTGAGGCACATCATCATGGCCAGGAAGGAAGTGCCAACCAATGAACAGTAAGTTACTCTACTAGCTACAAGTGCACCTATTGTTGGTAACTAGATAAACAATCTGCATCCATTGTACAATGACTGGGGAAGCTTTGTACCATGGCTTATTAACAAATATGACGGCTTTGTAAAAACACTATTTGATGAAAAATTATGAACCTTTTTGTCATCCCTAAAATAACCTGATTGTTCATTTAACATCCTCATATTAGGTACTTTATACTTCTACAGCTCCTCTCATATTACAACTATCTTTAAGTGCTTTATAAGGGCTCGGTTTGGGCAGGAAATGGAAAGGGAATTATGAGACATGTGGAGATGTTCAAAGGTACAGCAAAATGCAATAACATACATGGACGCAGAAGCAAACTGAGGGGACATAAGGTCCATTGGATCTGCTGTCAGGTGAGAGCAGATAACCAGGATCAAAGATTCAGGGTGCACATTGGCTGAGAAATAAGATTGGAGAAAACTGTATGCACTGCATCACTGAATTATAGGAAGATTGTCAAAATCAATTAAATAGTGCAATTTCGATTCACTTGCATATTACCATTGGTGAAGATTCCCAATATGAAGTGTGATTTAAGAAATTTAGAACTATGTCACCAGACATGAAAAAGACTTTTGTGACAGAGATGTTCAAGATCATGAAGTATCACAGTAAGTCTACAAGTTTATTGGCTGGTATTGGAAAGAAAGGATTTGAAGGCAGGAAGCTCAAACCTAAACATCAGATCAAGATCTGACACAGTCACCAGGAGAGAGTATTTGTTAACTGGTTTAAGTGTGTTCTATTCTCATGTTTTAATATAGTGTACATATTGGTGATAAAGTTAATAGAACACGTAAAACACAATATAAATAAGTGAATAGTATAACTAAATAAGTAATGAAAATTCATTAAGAATGACAGTACAAGTTGGGATGTCAAAGTTGCAGCATGTGGTAGCTCAAGAATATCATCCAGGGCAAACTTTAAACGTGTTAAATGTTTGAGGTTTGAGCAGCTTTGCCTCAGAGTATGAGAGCTGAAGGCAGAATCACAATCACTGCAGTGCATCAGGGAGGGGGAACTTTACCTGAATTTTTTTTTTTTTACCAGGAGGCTGTCACACTTTTTAGCATAGGGTGTGCTGATAAGTCAGTGGCCAGGGACAGGAAGAGTAAGGCAGGTAAGAGGACCCAGAAGACAGGAGTATCAGCCTGTGCAATTGTCCAACTGATTTGAGATTCTCTCAGGTTGTTTGTATGAAGGCAGGGGCTATGGGACGGATGAGCTAAAGACCATGTTACCGTGGTACAGGAAACCATTCAAGTGGGGTTAGGATTAGAGTTAAGGCTAGGGCTAGGTTTCAGGACATGTGCTCTGGGCTGGAGAAGGCTATACAGTGGAGGGAGAGGATACAGTTGTTGTGTTCCATGAGGGCACCAATGACATTTGTACAACTTGGAAAGTCGCTCTGTATAGCCAGTATGAGGAGCTTGGCATCAGATTAAGGAAAATCTCAAAGTTAATTTGTGGATTATTACTTGAACCACATGCAAATTGGCATCAGGTAAACAAGGTTAGAGGGATAAATATGTGGCTGAAAGGCTGGTGTGTGAGAAATGCATTCCTGTTCATGGGGCACTGGTATCAATACTGGGGAAAATGAGATCTGTACTGGTGGCATAGTCTACACCTGAACTGTACTGGGACAGGTGTTGTTGCAAACTGTGTAACCAGGAAAGTAGAGTGGGTTTTAGACGAAGTAGTGGGGCAAGGGCTCAAATTTGGGAAGTTGTGGTGAAATAAAGAGTGGAGAAAAGGCAACAGAGGAAGGAATTAATGTGGGAAATGATAAACAGACAATGGCAGGGATGGACAGAATTCTAAGAGCAAACCAGCAAATAAAAATAAATGTTACAAAAATAAAAGGAAAATAGTTAAAGCAGGTAGCATTCAGAACAAATGTAAAGTCCTAGCCGACAATAGGCTTCTCTCTCACTAGAGAGAAATGACTGCTGGTAGTTTAACCTTAAACCATGCCTAAGGTAAGGGGTGAGCTTGAGAAAACAGAGCCTTCATGGTAACCGCAGTCAGTACAGGAATTGAACTTGTGCTGTTGGCATCATTTTGCATTGCAAACCAGCCATCCAGTCAACCAAGCTGCAAAACAAATTAACTAATAAAATAAACTAAGATAAATATGTATGATCTAGTGATTATTAAGGAGAGGTGGCTGTAGGATGACCTAGTTTGGGACCCAAACATTAATGGGTATGTTACATTTAGGAGAGACAGGTAGCTAGGAAAACGTGGAGAAGTGGCTTTGTTAAATAAAGATGACATTAGCTCAATAGAGAGAGATGATGTAAATTTCAAGAGACCAGGATACAGCAGCTGTCTGAGTTGATGAGGAATAATAAAAGGCAAGAGGTCACTTGTGGGAGTTGTGTACAGCCCCCTCCTAACATGGTAGGACAGGGTATCAAGGAAGAAATAATGGGCAGTTGTCAAATGGGAACAGCAACTGTCATGAGGGATTTTAACTGACATTGACTAGAAAAATGGGAACAGTTTAAGTGAAGAATTCATTGTAAGTTTTCAGGGCAATTTCTTAGACCAGCACCAACCACACAGCAGGCTATAGTTTTTACCAATGAGATAGGAATAATTATTGGTCCATACTCAATGCACCCCTCGGTGGCAGCAAGCATAATATATTTGAATTTTACATATAGTTTAAAGAAAAGAAGCGTGGGTCCAAAAGTACTATTTTGAATTTAAACAAGGGCAATTGAAGGGCATGTGATAGTGTAAACTTCAGAACTTTAATAACATTTCATAAATGAAAGAAGCAGCATTAACTCTGTTTAAGGGACATGGACAAACTTATACAGGAATTGAAAGCAATTAGCCATGTCTAGGAAAAGAAGGAGTCAAAGCTACATGGACAAAACCTCACAGCGCCAGGGACCCGGGTTCACTTCCGGCCTTGGGCGACTGTTTGTGTGGAGTTTGTACATTCTCCCAGTGTCTGTTTGGGCTTCCTCCCACAGTCCGAAGATATGCAGGTTAGGTGGACTGGCCATGCTAAATTGCCCATAGTGTCCACAGATGTACAGCCGAGGTGAATTAGCCATAGGAAACGCACGGTTACAGGGATAGGGCAGTGGAGGTAGGGAGTGGGAGGGTGGGATGTTTTTCATGCTCTTCAGAGGGTCAGTGTGGACTCAATGGGCTGAACAGCCTGCTTCCACACTGTAGGATTCTATGAAGATCAATGATGACATTGCAACAGGGATCTTCAATAAGTTCAAGGCAATCAGAGCCAACACAGTTTTACCAAAGGGCAATCATGCTTAACTAATTTATTGGAGTTATTTGAATTTATGCTGTAGATAAAGGGTAACCAGTGAATGTATTGTATTTTGATTTCCAGAAAGCATTTGACAAGGTACTACATCAAAAGGTTATTGCAGAAAATAAAAGGTCATGGTGTCGGGCGTAATATATTGGCATGATTAGAAAATTGGCCAGTTATAGGAAGCACAGAGTAGGAGTAAATTAGTCTTTTTGAAGGTGGCATAATGTCACGTGTGGTGTGCCATAGGGGTCAGCACTGAGCCCTCAAATTTTACAATTTATATAAATGATTTAGATGAAGGGACCAAAGCTAAATTTGCTGATGGCCCAAACATAAGCACGAAAGTGCACTATGAAGAGGATGTAAGGAGCTTACAAAGGAATATCGATGGGCTAAGTGTTGGGCAAAGATCTGGCAAATGCAATATATTGTAGAAAAGTGCGAAAGTGTCCATTTTTACAGAAAGAATAAGAAAAAGCATATTGTCTAAATTGTGAAAGGTTGCAGAATTCTGACACGCAGAAAGTTCTGTGTTCCAGTGCATAAATTGCAGAAGATTAGTATAAATGCACAGCAAACACGAGGGAAGCTAAGAGAATGTTATGTTTTATTGTGAAGTGAATTGAATGCCAGAATGGGGAGGTTATGTTTCAGTTATACAGAGTGTTGGCGAGACCAGTACTGTGTACTGTATTGGGCACTGCACTTATGGAAGGATGCGTTGGAAGTAGTTCAGAAATAGTTTACTAGACTAGTGTCTGGAATGGGTGGATTGCCTTATGAGGAAAGGCTAAACAAGTAGGCCTGCATCATCTGGAGTTTCAAATATGAACTTGGTCCTACTAGTTTTAATGTCAACTTGACGTTCCTGCACGTCCACAATAATCTTCCATCCCCTTGGTTAATAGAATATATTTATCTTTGCCTTAAAAATGTTGAACATTCTGTTTGTATGACGTGCATTCATAAACTATATTTTAGTATAGAAAAATGTTCCAAGGATTATCAAAGAAAATAGACGCTGACAAATGAAGGGATAACAAAGGTGATTGAAAGTCCAGTCAAAACATTGCATTTTAAGCAGTCTTAAAGGAAGAAAGTTAGATGGAAGGGTTTAGGGACAAAATTCCTGTAAGCAGCAATAAGGCAGCTGAATCCATTCAGGGCACTAATAAGGTTAAGTAAGGGAGAACATCCTGATGTCAGAGAAATGGAGTATTTTAAATTCTAGACATGGGAGAACTGGGAATCAATACAGGTCTGCATGGAAAGTGATGATGGGCAAACAGACCTTGATCCAAAACATACAAGTGTACAATTTTTGAAAAGTTGGAATTCATCAAGGGGAAGGCTGGAAGATGGGAATATTACAGTAATCTGGTCTGGAGGTGATGAAAATCACACACAAGTGAAGAAAACTGCAGTTATGATTTTGATGTAGAAATGATCCATTATTTACCTAAAAA